ACAACAGCAACAACCACAAGAATATTGAGTAATATGGTCTCATACATTTCTCTGCTCACACAATTCTCTGCATAAAGGTGCTCAGGAAAGGCTTCTAGTTGAATGAAATTACTTGAAATACTTAACATCATTTCAAGTTTCAGGGTACTTCTGTGAGAGCACAATTTTTGGTTTTGAATGGCTGGATCCAGAAAAGAATTTCCTGAAGGAAGATGTTAACCCCTCATTTGTTGTTATTGTTGTTGTTATGTGCCGTCAAGTCAGACCCGACTCATAGCAACCCCTCCTTGGGTTTCTGAGGCAGTATCACTACAGAAGTAGATTGCCCAAGCTTCCTTCCAAGGAGTGGCTGGTGAGTTTGAACCTCTAGCCTTCTGGTTAGCAGTCAAGTGCCTTAGGCACTATGCTACCAGAGCTCCTTCATATCATTTGGAAATCCTTCCTTCCTTTTCTTTAACTCAAGTGGATTGCATTAATTTTCTGTCGCGTGAATTCAAGTGAGTCCCCAGATAGATTTTCAGTGAACTGTTAGGTGAAAATCAAATATATTCTGAAGTTAGAAATACTTTAAAAAAATATTTTATCTACTCTTTTTAGATCAAACCTCACTACATTTTATTTTTTTTTCTTCATGAGTATATATAATTTCAGTTTGGGAGTAAGACCAAAATTTTCTAACTACTATGAAGGTAGTTGTCCTTTTTACCTTAGAATAATTGTTTCAGATTATCATAATCATTTTGTTGATCATTTTGTGTAGCCTGTGACTTACGGAGCTACTAAAAGTAAATTAATCTCTGACACTTGGGTCTTTGTACTATGTATTAAACACATGGCTGTCTATGCTTGTATTATACAACTGAAAAGGAAAAAATGTAGTCAACAGAATAGTGAGTGAGATGAAAACATTATTTTATACAGATGTATGAACTATCATATAAATGCTAGTTTTTAAATTTACAATTCAGCCAGTGAGTTGCAAATTTTGTTTTGATTAGTTTACCAAATACACTGGTGCTTGGAAGAAATTTAACAGGCTTGATGTTAGAACTTTTACTGTAATTTTATATGGAAAAGTTAACAGGAATGAACATAAAGGTGCAGAATTTAATATTTTGTTTTTAATAAGATCTTTGGGTAGTTGACCCCTAATGTAATCTAGCATATCAGTTAGTATAGTGATTTAATGGATATTCTTTTTTTAAATCTTGTAAGTTTTACAGTGTTTCTTAGTTTTAGTCTCCAATTTCTGAGGTTAGCCTTTTTCACTTAATCATTTGTATTATGTAGTTGAGCATTATATCCACCCGGATGAGCTCTTGGTGCTGGACTTAAAAGCTGATATTGCAGTTTATAGTTGATTTTAGACAGGTGATATGTAAGTGTTCTGTGACTTGTCCAATTTTATGACAAAATTGAGTGTTTCTTTAATTTGAAAAATGGTGAAGCCTTGTTCATTTTCAACTACTACTATGAATATAAGTTGAAATTACAGTTTTAGTACTTTGACTTTTACCTGTTCAACATTATTCAGGCTGCAAACTTTTATATGTGCACTGAGCTTCTAACTAAGTCCATATGAAGGACAGCTCAGACACTTAAAATCTGCCTTAGCTTTTAGAAATGATCTCACAACACTTACATGCAGGACACTCAACCCAGGGTGATATACCCACCTACTCCGTAGAGATACATCCCTTGGGGCAACTGGCCATGGGGCACCAGAGGGGCAACAGTCACATAAGGAAAAGCTGGACAGACAGGAGTACATAACTAAGAAGAGAAGGGCACAGGAAGGGGGCGGGTTACTGAGATGGGAGCAGAAGAGAGTGAGTTAGGGTTAGAGATGGTAATTGGGGAGTGAAACCAAATGCATACAAAATGTTGAGTATAAAGCGGATTCTGCTCTGTAAATTTGTACCTAAAGCCCAAATGAAAAAAAAAAAAAAAAGAGGAAGAATAAAAATGATCTCACCTATGCAACCAAGACAATATTAGACTCGGGTAAGAAAGTCATAAAGATATAAATATCCAGATAACTAAGTGGTCACAAAAGATTAGTGTAAAACCAAACTTTCTGCTGTATGAAAGCTCCTGCAATTCACTGGTTAAATTAAATCAGACAAGCCTTTATATCTGCCATAGGCAGAAAAATCTGATAGGATTGTGCTGATGTATTTTGTTGATAGTAAAGATATCTTGATAAGTTTTTACTTTTCTGATAGGTGGGTACACTGGCACTACTTTGAAGTGATGAACATTTAAATTAAATCCTTGTATATCTTAACATATTATAAAGCAAAGCCAGGTGCATTTTACTTGTAAACTATAAGATGTTTACATATAAACTGTATATAATTCAAATTTCATTTATAACTCATCATTTCCTCTTCCATTTAAAATATTCCTTAGCCACAACAGCTCCTTCGTAATTTGGTCACAGCTGGTATTTACATTTTACATTAGTGTTATAAGTCCCCTTTGATTTACTTTACCAAGTAGACCAAAGCTAATGCATTTTCCTTTTTATTCATTTCCCTTTTCCTACTGAAACTGTTCTGTTATTGAAGAATTTAGTAGTTGAATGTGTTTGGCTCACAGTAGCTTCAATATTTTTTTCTTTTTTTTATAAACAGAAAGAGTCCCAGACTCTCAAGAAAATGAGCTGAAGTCCAGATGGGAAAGTCTCCTGGGCCCTGATTATGAAGTAATGGTATGCTAAAGTCCTCTAACAAAAATACTCCAGTCTCATTTTATGTCAGGGGCCTAACACTACAATTTAAAGAAATTTAAAGAGGCAAAGAATATCTGCCCTGCCTTTGTTTTCATCCTCTTACCTTACTACCCTATTGGACCAATCAATTGGGTTTTTTTTTTTTTTTTTTTGGTAGTATTTTAAGCTGAAAGAACAATTAAGGATGGTACACAAGTGTCAGTGAAAATTAGCAGACACTCAGTTTATGTTGGGACAATTTAAGTTGACAATAGGCAGAAAAATGTTAGGAGAGGAAAGACTTGCCTTTATATTTATAACCTATATCAGCAGCTTAAAATTGCTGGCATTTTTATGATTGCTTTTGTGGTGTTTGTTTTATTGTACACTGAAAAGACTGTGGATATTAGTCCTATGTTTCACAAAGAATTTTACAGTTTTATGAGAAAACTGAAAGAATGATTATCACATATATTTGAGAGAACAGGAAGTAATTTAGGTTCAGTATATGTTTATATGCCCATGGTCCATTAGATTTCCTTTGACCTGTTATTAGATTCATTGAATAAGGGATTGATTACATTTCCCCATATGAATCCACATGAAAGCAGAAAACTGTGCTTTGAAAAGCCTCTATGGTGTTCACCAAATACGTTAGTAATAAAATGTTCTATTAAATTTCTTTTGTCATTCACATTTTCTTACATATGTTTATCATTAGTACTTGTTGCCTGGTTTGAGATTTTTTATCTCTTTTCTTGGTTTGCAATATCCAGCCACTACTTATTATCAGAAAATTTCTAGTGACATTAAAAAAAGACAAACTCATTGCCTTCTAGTCAATTTTCACTTGTAGTGACTGTATAGGACAGAGTAGAACTACTCTATAGGGTTTAGGAGGCCATAAATCTTTACAGAACCAGACTGCCACATCTTTCTCCCATGGAGTAGCTGGTGGGTTCGAACTGCTGACCTTTATGGTTAGCAGCCGAATGCTTTAACAAGTGCACCACCAGGGCTCCTTCCCAATGACATTAAAAAAACCCACTGTTATTGAGTCTATTCCAACTCATAGCAGTCCTATAAGACAGAATAGAACTGCCATGTAGGGTTTCCAAGCCTGTAAATCTTTGCAGAAGCAGACTGTCATATCTTTCTCCTGAGTAGTGGTTGGTGGGTTCCAACCACCAACCTTTTGGTTAGCAGCCAAATGCTTTAACCGCTGCACCACCCAGATGGATTAAAACAGTCTGTACTCTTTCTGATTTTGTGCTTGCATGTCAGGTTTCATGAATTGCTGCTGCTTCACCTCATAGATTTCAAACACTGTCATTAGACTGTCACCTAGCAAATGACCTTTCCTATTAGCCTTAGTAGGCTTGTCATCAAAGTCATTTATGTAACAGTATTTACAAATGTGATGGACTCTTTTTAATTTTTTTTTTGTTTAAAATCTTACCCTCCTTATAACCATGTTTCCAAAGTTCATTTATCACATAGTCACATAGTAAGGTCATGACAGAGAGGCTAAAAGGAGGAAGTAGACTTTGAACTTAAAAATGTAAAGGGATAGATTAAAGTTTCGCCTTCTTGTTCTGAGGTAGGAGGGACAGAAAAAAGTCAGGCTAAATAAATGAACAAACAGAGAAATACACTCGATCATCCATCAATGCATACATACATAGACAAGTGCACATATACACACATATATGTATACATGCATATACTCCAGTGCTTCTTATTGCAGTTTCTTCCAAGATCTACTAATCTGAAGTGCAGTATTTTAGAAGCTTTAATTGGATCATTGTTTAACTTATCCCCTCCAGATGCATTATATTTTATTAACAACTTACAGATGCAAATCATCAATAAAGTACTTTTGCTTGCAAGGAATTCACTTCTGTGGCTGTCCACCATTGAAGCTTAGGAGAATAGTTTTAGGCCAGGATTAAAAGCTTTAAGTATTACGTGAGCCTCACACCAGAGACCAGGTCCTTTTGTTTATGTTCTTGCCAGCTTTTTCTCCTGGGGAAATGGTTTGAGCTGGCTGTGCAAAGTCAGATGCTTCAATTTTTCCAAACTTATATGACTTTATTGACCTTCTCAACTTTGTCTTTAGTCTTGAATTTGAAAGTAAAGTGGCTATACTCCTGTTTTGTTAAAAGAGTGAAATTTTTATGGATTCATGATAAGGGAGGGTTATATTAAAATTTTAAGGATCATGGAGTTTTTAAAAATAATATATGTATTTGCCCTTCTATATTTCAACTTCTGTTCAACTTTCCGATAATTTATAAAAGAGAGTTTGCTATGGGGAACCAAGAAAAAAAGTCAAACATACTCTGAAATTTTATATGTTATATTTATGCGTTATAGAAATATATAAAAGATGTTATTAGAATGTAGGTGAGATGGAGTTATCAATATGCAGTCACAGCACAGAAGTTACTCAAAATGCAGGTAATTTGCAGATAAAAATTTAGGAGGAAATAAAGTTAGGGTTTTACAAATATTGGAAATCTTATTTTCTTATAAATTTAGGTTGCCACTTTGGACACACAGATTGCCGATGATGCCGAATTACAGAAATATTCAAAGGTAAGCATTTTTTTTTAAATGTTGCCAGGTTTTTGTTGTTTGAGGCACTTTTTCTAAATTCTTACTGAATGAGTTAAGTTAGTTCTGTGACCTAACTTGTCCAGAATTCAGTCATTTTTGTTTTCTGGAAATGTAATGAGTTCCTGCTATCAGATATACCTAGGAAGAATGTGGGATCCTACATGTCACTTCCAGAACCCAAAATCCCAGATTTGACTGTTTTGCCCCCTATACTGCATAGACTGACACTGTGCAGAATGTGTTAACTCTTCAGACATTATAATAAGTCCTTTCATAAATGTTTCCTAAAAATCAAGCCTGAAACAAAGACTGAAAATACTTCTGGTCTGGATGTTCAAGGATAATATCCAGCCTTAAGTATAGAGACTGGTTGTCTTTGAACTTGAATTTTCTTGGTAAGCTTTAATTCTGGGAGGTTCCTGTGTGGGTGCTCATGGTTTGCACTTCAGTACTAATGAAATCTTGGCAACTCGAACCCATCCAGATGCTCCTGTTGTATGATCTGCTTCCATAAGATTTTGTTGTGATTAAATGCCGTTGAGTTGATTTTGACTCATAGCAACCACATGAGATAGAGTGGAACTGCCCCGTACGATTTTCTGGACTATAATCTTGACTAAACCAAAAAAAAACCAAATACACTGCCATGAACTTGGATCTGACTCATAGTGACCCGTCCTTGGGTTTCCAAGGTGGTATCTCTATGGAAGTAGATTGCCCAGTCTTCCTTCCGAGGAGTGGCTGGTAGGTTTGAACCACCAGCCTTCTGGTTAGCAGTCAAATGCCTTAAGCACTATGCCATAAATTGCCAGCTCTTTCTCCCTTAGAACTGCTCTTGTTATATGTCGTGGAGTCAGACCCAACTCACAGCGACCCCTCCTTGGGTTTCCGAGGCGGTGTCACTATGGAAGTAGATTGCCTCACCTTCCTCCTGAGGCGTGGTTGGTGGGTTTGAACCGCCAGCCCTTCCATTTGGTTAGCAGCTGAGTGCTCAACTGTTGTGCCATCAAGGCCCCTTTCCATAAAGATTAAGACAAGAAAACCCTATGGAAAAAGTTCTAATCAGTAGCAGGGAAGGGTTGCCATGAGTTGAATTGATTCAATGACAACATGTTTATTTTTTGCGGGGAGAGGCATTACTTCTCAGAAGCCATGGTGGTTAGTGCTTGGCTGCTAACCAAAAGGTCAGTGTTTGGAACCAACAGCTGCTCCATGGAAGAAAGATGAGGCAGTCAGCTTCCATAAAGATAACAGTCTTGAAAACCCTGTGGAGCAGTTCTCTTTCTGTAGGGTCACTATGAGTCCTAATTGACTTGATGACAATGAATGTTTAGTTTTACTTCTAATGACAAAATGCCAGAAAGGTACCTTTACAAAAGTTTTTCTCCTAACATTTTATGTCTTCTCACTACAAATTCATTCTGTACTTCCCATTCTGGATAATCAAAAGTCTGGGTGGTGGAAATTTAGGGAACTCTTGTATGTGGCAAATGGCTGACTCAACAAATAATGACCAGGAAAAGCTTTTCTTGCCAGAATAGTTTCAAAAATAATGTAATTATTGAAATTAACTGTAATCCCACATGGGGTGTAAGAACTGAGGCCAGCTCAAAGTCTGCTGTCACATGGACCACACAAAATGTTATTTTTTGCATCCCATGAGGGTTTTGTGGGAAGTTATGAACGTCTTTTTAGATTGTTGTATTGTTTCCTCCTTTGAGTATTTATGATGAGTATTTCTCCTCCGTAACTTTGTGTTACGTGTTACATTATTTTATAAGTTTGAATTTTCAAGACTGATACCATATATAATGCATTTTTACATAAGTAACACACATATTATACATGCAAACCCCTCATGCATTGGTTTCTTATTCATGCTATATGTGAGTGCTCATATTTTTTGTGAGTGTGGTAGTGTTTCTTTCCATCTAAGTTTACCTGCATTTTGAGTAACTTACATGCTGTGACTGTGTGGCCGGCTGATCAAAGTTTCCTCAGATGTGCGATATAACAGCAATATAACACAATGCAAAATGACCCACTGCCGTCAAGTCAGATTCGATTCATAGTGACCCCTCCTTGGGTTTCCGAGTGACCCCTCCTTGGGTTATCACTACGGAAGTAGACTGCCCAACCTTCCTTCTGAGGAGTGGCTGATGGGTTTGAACCGCCAGCCTTCTGGTTAGCAGTCAAATGCCTTAGGCACTATGCCACCAGAGCTCCTAATGGCACCACAGCACACATTATAGTTAATTTTAAATTATGTACAAAGTCAGCCTTATAATAGATTAATCACTTATTAAGGACTGGTGGTATAGTGGTTAAGACATTTGGCTGAAAACCAGAAGGTTAGTGGTTTGAACCTACTAGCTGCTCTGTGGAAGAAAAATGTGGCTTTCTGCTTCCACAAAGATTTACAACCTTGGAAAGCCAATTGGGGTCGCTATGAGTTGGAATAAACTTGATGACAGTGAGTTTGGTTTTGGTTTGAGTCAGTAATTACTAATTCCACCTAAGTATGTTGAAGGATTTAATTAGAAATGGGAGTAAGAAATAAAATTACCTCAACAAACTGTAACTGTTATTAATTGTGTTTATTAATTAGTGATTAGATGGACCCTACAGCCATATTTGGAGCTCTGGTAGTATACTGCCTAAGGCATTTGACTGCTAACCAGAAGGCTGATGGTTCAAACCCCCCAGCCACTCCTCTACTTCCATAGAGACATCACCTCAGAAACCCAAGGAAGGGTTGCTATGAGTTGGAACCAACTCCATGGCAGTGAGTTTGTTTTTTTTTTCGGTTTAGAGCCAAATTGCCTGAATTCTAATGCTGACTTATCCACTCATTAGCTGAGTAATCATGGGAAAATTGTCTGACCCCTCTATGTCTCAGTTTTGTTTTCTGTAAAAGGGGGCTATTAAAAGATTATTATCTATCTCATGATTGTGTAGGAATTAAATGCAATGTACCTAAAATAGTGACAGACATGTAATAACTGTTATTACTTTTATTATTATCACATAAATTCTTAGATATTGGATGTTTTCTGTATACCTGTCTTCTAGTTTGCTAAATTTCCTTTGTCTGCTCAGGTACTGAACCCCATCTAGTGAGTCTTTAATTTTAGTTATTATATTTTTCTACTCTAGAATTTTCATTTTATTCCTTTTTAGAATATAGTTCTCTGATGAAATTCTCCAACTTTTAAAAAATGTGTGCTTGCCATCTTTTACTCTATTTCTTGAAGATGTTGATAGAGCACATAGAAACACAAATCCACTGCCATTGAGTTGGTTCCAATTCATAGCAAGCCTAAATAGCAGAGTAGAACTGCCCCATAGGGTTTCCAAGGTTGTCAATCTTTACAGAAACAGACTGTCACATCTTTCTCCCATGGAATTGCTGGTGGGTTCAGACCACCAACTTTTCAGTTAGCAGCTGAGTGCTTTAACCACTGCATCACCAAGTCTCCTTCCAACAGCATATAAGGCTATTAAATATTAACTCCAATATCTAGCCACCTTTGTATCTGTTTTCATTGTCTGATGGTTTCTCTTGTTATTGGTTATTTGGGTGTGTCTGATAATTTGATTGAATGCCTAGCATTGTTTATGACATCTACGAAAGGCTGTAGGTGATGCTACCTCCCCGTAGAGAGGTTTTGCCCTTCTAATAGCTTTCTTGGTAGCCTCCCTAAGAGCCCTTCTCCCAAATGGGTCCTTAACTGTAATCCTCATTTTCTCAGTACTGTGGGGGTGTTGAAATCTTTGTTTTCCAGAGGCTTTCTGATTAGTTCCTTATTCTTCTCCCCTGTATTACTTTAGAACTCAGGAGACATCCTAGGGACAAACCTGCCCTGTATCTGGCTCAGTTCATCACATAGTTCAGCTTTAGTTATCTGCTTTCCCCAGTTCAAGGGTATAAAACTCTATGCCATCATATTTTATAATGAGTAAAAGATAGCAAGTAAAACAAGATAATGTACCACATTTTGTGTACATTTTAAAGTATGGAATTACCTTTCTTTAAGCAGAAGATGTTTTCTCTCACTATTGTTCCCTGCCAGCAGTGTTACCAATGTTACCTCTTTTCTCATGTGCTGCAGTGAATTACTCGGTATGGCTCTTCTAGCCATGGTCTTTGTGGTGCCCACCAGATGATTGGGTGGAAGGGCACTGGATAGCTTCTTAGTAATGTAAATAAGGTACATGGTACCCTTGTGGGGGGTGGTACCATGGAAATAAGGTGTATGGAACCTTAATGTGGAGATTGGTTAGTTTTGTCATTCTGCGAGGCTTAAAATGAGCCCTCCTAGAGATAGAAGAAGGAGCTCTGGTGGCACAGTGCCTAAGGCATTTGACTGCTAACCAGAGGGCTAGAGGTTTAAACCTACCAACCACTCCACGGACGGAAGAGTGGGCAATCTCATCTTACCATCAAGAGAGAAGAACTGGAGGTGAAATGAAGTGTGTCCTTGGACCCGAGATCCCTGCGCTGGACCTCCTTGGCAGAGATGACTAGCTAAGATATGGTGGGAACAGAATCAAGAGGCACAAGACAGAGTAGAGAGCTCACTGGCCCATGGAGCAAGAAAGCTGAGTGTCTTTGGGCAGAAGCCTTGCTAGTGGAGTGGAGTGCACCTAGGTGCACCTATTGGCATAAGTAAAGGATCTTTGTAACACTTGCCTGAGCAGGACAGAGAGGCCAGGCTGAAGGGCAAACGGCCAAAGAGAGGCATGCCTAAAGACATGGCTGAGGGGAAGATGTCCTTATGGAAGAATTGTATCCTGTGTGTGTTACTAAACCTAAATTGTAACCTATTACTTCCCTAATAAACCCCATAATTGTGGGTTCTGTGTGGCCATTGCAACGAATTATTGAACCCAGCAGAGAAGTAGTGGGTGCCGTGTGATTTGATGTCAAAATTGATAAAAAGGCTAGAGAATGGTGGCATGTCTGGCCTCATAGGAAT